ATTTTATCTTTTAAAATTGAGATTGTTAAGAATTTAGCTTTGTAATTTACTTCTTTCTATTTTTCTTTTATATAAGGTTAGCATGATTTATAGGTTTCCTAATGTAACCTAGGCTACCTTGATTTACAAGTTTAATGGGTTGTCTTTTTTTTTTTTATATATATATATATTTTTTAAGTGAACTTAAGTTTTATTACAGTTTAATTTTTTTTCGTATAGTTAAAAAAATAATTTTAGAGAAAAATTATGTTATTAAACTTTATAAAGTAACACAAATTAAAGGATTTGAGGAAACTATTGGTTCACCCACACATATTATACTGTGAATGACAGTAATAATCTATAATGTTTTGCTTTCTTGATTTTTTCTTTATGTTTTTGAATTTTAGTCATGATTTTTTTTTCAAATTTGTTTTTGTTAATTCATCTTTTAATATTGGAATTGTGAGGATTTAACTTTATAATTGTTTTTTATTTTATCTTCTTATAAGATTAATATGGTTTGCAGGTTTGACAAAGTAACTTAGGTTACTCTAATTTACAAGTTTGGTGAGATGTATTTTTTTAATTGAATTTGACTCTTTTATCCTTTTTTTTTCCTTCTTGTATAGTTAAAAAAATAGTTTAAAAAAATCATGTTATTAAACTTTATATAATTGTTTTTCTTTTTATTTAACCTTTTTAAAAGGTTAACATGGTTTATGGGTTTACCAGGATAACTCGGGTTGCCCTGGTTTTTGAATTTAGTGGGTTTTTTTTAATTGAACTTGAATTTTTTTATCATCTATTTTTTTATATAATTAAAAAAATAGTTTAAAAAAATTATGTTATTAAACTTTATAAAGTCCACATACCTATTTACAAGTTTAGTTGGTTAACCTAGTTCACGGGTGTGACAAGTTTAACTCTTTCCAATTATTTTGTTTCATTCGTAGATACTAGATTTATCACTACTAGAAAATTAATAAATACAAATAGAAATACTGAGAGAATATTTATGTAGGTAAATGTTTTAGGGATTTTACCGATATATCATTTTTACCAATGAAATTATCGACAGAATAATTGGTAAATTTGTTGGTAAACTATGAATACTATTTATCATATCAATTATAAAGAAAATTATTGACGAAATTTTTCATCGGTGCTTTCCAGAGAGCTCCAGAACTGTTCACTTTTCAATTGCACTATTAATTTTTGTTCTTTACGAACAAAATCATCAACAAATTGAAATGTCATTGGTTTTATTTGGTAGTTTTATGAAACAATTCAATTAATTTAAAGTTTTCATTGAAATAAATTATTATAAACGAAATTACCAAAGAAATAATTAAAAAATATTAATATTTAATTATCCGTCGTGATCCACCCCCAATAAAAAGTTTGAATTCCCTTATTTCCTAAGAGACATACTCATTTCTTATTCTTATTCTTCTCCTTCTTCTTCCACTTCTTTTTTTTTTCATTATATATAAAAAATATCAATATCTATTTCTTTCTCTTGTCTTCTCTATTCATCTCCTTCTTTTTTTCTTCATGCTTGGATATGCCTTCTTCTTCTTTCTTCTTTTATCCTCTTAGTTTTTTTTTTAATTAATATGCTTTATGAAATTTTTTTTCTCTCCTTAGCTTCACTTACAACTACATTAAGGTAAGATTTTTCTTTTTTCTTCTTTTTTCATGATTTTTTTCACTATATTATTTTTTATTTTATTTTTTATTGTTTTTGTTCTTAATAATTGTATAAATGTTGTTGTGAGATTTGTTTTTACATATGAGTTCAATTTTTAGTTGATTTATTTATAGGATTTTTAAATTTTTAACAATTGTAACTTCATTTTTTTCATATGAATTTTTTAGTTGAATTTATTTTTTCATTTTATTTTTTTGTTGTAAATTTGTTTGAGTTGATTTTCTTAATCTTTTTTCCAAGATTTTTTAGTATATATTATAGAGAGTTGATTTATGTTAATTTAATTATTTTTTAATATTTTAAAATAGATTTTTTAAAATATTTTTAAATAATTACCGAAGGATTACCGATGGTATTTTTTGAGGGATGTACTAACAAAATGAAGCAGTTAATTTTTTTTTACGCATTTGTTTTGTTAGTAAATCCATCAGCAATAATTTTTTTATTATTAATTGATTTACTAATGGACAAAAAATTACCGATGAACGATTTACTGATGGATTATTTCCATCGGTGATTTTGTTGATAAATTAATTACCGACAGAATATATGTCTTACGCCGATAAAAAAATTCTATTAATATAACTGTTAAATGTTGTAGTGAATTGGGAATTCAGTTTCATAATTGGTTTCGTTTTGTCTTTTATGAGGTTATCGTAATCTAAAAAACCATCTAGGTGTTGGGTTGATGTTTGATTATGCAATCATCTATTTTTGTTATTATATAGTTAAATAAAAAAGAGATTAAAAAAATTATAATTCTAGTGGAGTCCATAAATCAGTTTACAAGTTTGACGTACTAGCCCGGCTTTCCCGATTCTCATATTTGACAAGTTTACCAACTAATATGATATATATATTTTTTATTTTTGGTCTTTTAATTATTTTTAATTTATTCTTTTTGATTTTATCATTTAATATTGGATTAGTTGAAAAATGAACTTCATTATTGATTTTTGTTTGCTTTCTAGGGATAATTGTCTCAAATAAGTGACTATTTTTATATTAGTGCTTAATTTTGTGAGCATATATTTTTATCATATAATTAAATAAAAAAATATAAAAAGATTATTAAATCCAATAAAGTTCATGGCAAAGGGGTCTATCCAATCTATTATCGTCTCAATATTTTTTTTAAATTATCATCTTAATTTTTTTTAAAAAATTAAATTATATTTTTATTGATCATCAAGGTTATATTTAAACCTATACAATTGATCAATTTAAATCAAGTTAGTTCTCACACAATTTAGTTAAAAGTTAGACAAAGAGTTAAGTTAGAAGTTTCAAAATTAACCTATTTAATAATACTATTACAAAAATTCTTTGTACTTTTAATATATTCTTAAAAAAATTAATATTGAGCTGTAGTAGAGCACGAAACAATATATTACTATAATAGAATTGAACTTAACTTTTTTCTCTCTCTCTTATGAATAGTTCAATAAATATGTTATTTAAGATAATTAAGAAGTTACAAAACATATTTAATTAACTGCTAGAATGGGTAGAAATAGCCAGCCTGTGAATGCAGGCTTAACACGACCTATTTAAGATACAAACAAGTAAGCCGAACTTGTTTTATTTTAATTCGATAAAATAAAATAAAATAAAGCATATAATTAATGGAATATGCAAATTGAAATTCGAGTTCCACTAAAAAAAAAATAATTTCATTGGAAAATACAACAAAATAACCTTACATTTTTAATACAATTGAAATCAATATACTACGCAAACAATTCAATCTTCCTTGCGAGTCTAAATTCACTCACAAAGAAGAGAGATGACACAATTACAATGAATAAATTAAAACACACAATATACTGTAGCATTATCGTTAAAGAAGACGATTCCCTGCATATTGATCAAAAGATAAAATAAATAAAAAAATTATTTTTGCAGTCCAAACAACAATTTAGTTCACCTTCCTACAATTCAAACGAACTTGGCCTTGCTTTCCAGTCAAAATGTTTATATTCCCCATCTTAACCATAGACTTAGCAAAATCAGCCCAAAAAGCCTTAGGATTTGAACTATAAGCCTTCACCAATCCATCAGTGGAGCCACCATTGAAGAGGGCTTGATCAGAGCGAAGCAACCCTCTTTTCTTCACCAAACTGTTGAAGTATGCAACATCAAAGCGTGCAGGTGTTGGGTCTAGAGGAGCAAGGTTTGAGTCACCACCAATGCGTGGACATGTTGATTTGCGCTGTTTAACAAATTTAGGGTCGATATTTGTTTCATTGTGGATTCTGTTTCTGAACGTAAAACACTGTGCTGACCCTAAAGTGTGGCCTCCGGAGAGAGCTACAAGGTCTCTCTCATTTAAACCCTGCCTTTTGAAGTTGTTGATTAGGGCAGGAAGATCCATGAATGGTGATGGGAGGTCATTGTTGGCTTTGTCTCTGCTAGCTGTGGTTGAGTCCTTCCTTCCTAGTTGGACGGCCCATGTTGGCCCTCCTAGCTGAACATATATTTTATATGAGCAAATATGTAGATTACAATGTTAATTAAATTTGATAGCCGGCTTGCATGCATGAAAATTTATTAATAAATTCTAAATTCAAATATTTTCATCCTTATTTTCAAATATTTGAAAAAAACAATACTGAAAACCACCAGCAATACAAAACAACTCTTTAATCGATCACGTACCGCAACGACGGAGTCCCGGGCTGCAACAGCTACGATATCTGCACAGGAGACCACTGGACGTCCACAGATCTTGTCCACCTCCAACTTAACTTGGTCAATAACTTCAAATCCTTTAAGAGAATTGATATTAGGAAGCGCATTCTTTTCACTGTCAATGGTGGATGTTGAATCCAAAAGAATTGATGCATCACAACCCTATATCACATATATGCAACCAAAACCATTAGTATAAGAACAATATGCATGTAAAACTTAATTATGTGATACTATTAAATAATTAGGAGAAATTAGAATGTGATTAGTGTAATACATTGACAAAACAATCATGGAAGTGTAGACGCAACAGAGAAGCACCCATGCGTCTTTCTTTGTAAACTGCGGCCTCCACAACTCGTTTGATAGTTGGTAAAGCTTTGGGACACACACGGTTATAGTAATATGGAGATAGTGCTTTTGAAGAAGAAGCAGAAGTAGCAAGAACCAAAAGCACAAGGAAGGCAGAAAGACAGAAGATGGTAGGAGAAACCATGTTTAGTTAGTACTAGATCTGTAGTGATCACTCTGGTTAAAGCTCTTGTTTTGCTTTGATGATTTACTGTGTTTTCCTTGCCTCTCGGCTTATATTTATAGGGCATGGGGGAGCTAGTGTTGAAGAAGTTCTTCGACATTGTAGGACTTGGCCAAACCTAAGACTTTCGAGAAATTTACAAGTGGCACACAAATGTCAAGGCCATGATTAGGGAGAAAAGTACATTAATGTGCTCTAAAAAATATGTCTGATTTAGTCATATCACAAGCTAGCTATCTAATTCATGTTTATATACGCATGGAGACCATGTCGTGAGAATTTTTTATTTTCTATTATACATACACTGTCTCTTTCTCAAGTAACTTATTTGTAGCTTATCTCCGAAAATAAAATATCGAGCTATTTCGAGACTGGGTCAGGGAGTTGAACAAATCTCTTAATTTGTGCATCCATGGGCAATTAATCAGAGCTAGAGTGTTGTTTTATATGTTGGATTTTGTATTTTAAAAATATTTTTAATATTTTTAAATTAATATTTTTTTAGTATTTTCAGATCATCTTAATATATTATATTAATATTAATTTTTTTAATAAATAAATATTTTTTTAATATATTTTTAATTAAAAATACTTTAAAAAATAATCAATACCCCACTTCCAAATATTTACATACTTAATATTTACGTACTCTTCAAAGAAACTATCAAATCAATGATGACAACAACCACATCGGAGGTGGGGGCATGCCTTGGAGGAGAAATTGCTGATAAGGAAATCACTTGACCAAGCAAGGAGTAGAATCAAACTACATAATAATTAAGGAAAAAGAAACTAGGAGAAAGTCTAGCTATATTTCTTAAAAACAATTGGAGATTTCAATGACTTAATAACTTTTATTTTTATTTTTTTATTTGCAAATGCTATTAATTGACATGATAGTTCACGCGTTAACATAAAAAAAAAAAAAAAAACACTTAGCATTTGGCATGCTAACCTTTAGACTCTTGCCTTTGGATTATATATGCGACTGCATGGTTCTCATAAAAAATAATAATGTCAAGTGTCAACCATATTATAAAGCAACAAATATAAAAAAACACGTGTAATATCATACGAAATCCCCACGGTTAATTTATTCCAAAAGCTAGGGTGCTCAAGCATGCTAGCTACTAATTAATTAAAATATATTCGAAGCAATTTCTTTTTCGACAAGTATACTTGGTCAAATGAATCTCGTACGTGTTGATTTTATCAACGATACACCTAATCACTATAATTAATTATGAAAAAGCTAGCTAGATCCTTGTCGAGATCAAGAAACGGCCGATTCGCCGAACAAAGTTTCTAAGCTCTCTTGCTCTGTGGTTTGCCACGTGGCATGTAATTGTTCATCTTTCTTGAATCATTTTACAATCAGTTCCGAACTTAAAAATATTTACATGTTTTGAATAAATTTTGGATATTTATAAGTGTGTTTGTGGTTATTTTTAAAATATTTTTATTTAAAAATATATTAAAATAATATATTTATAATATATAGAAGTTACACTGGGTAGACGACATATGTCCCTTCACCATGTTTGGCTCCATATTTAGTCTAGAAATTGAAGAAAATGCATGAAAAAAAATGATGAAAATACTAAATTAATTAAAAATAAATTTCGTATTTATTATAATTGGTTATAAATTCATTTAAGTTGCGAATTAAAAGAAAATGTGTGCTAACCATATGAATGCTAAAGATGGGTTGGATGGATGGTTTAAGTTAGTTAAAAAAATTAGATAATAGAAAGGATCTAATTCATCAAATTAGAAGTAAAGGACCTAAGTAATCAAATTTCTTAAGTCAGCGATGACGGGCTTGAAGAAGCCGACAATTAATTATAGCTGTAATCAACCCAGAAACAAATCATTAAGAGCATCTCCACCGCATGAGATAAATAAAAAAGTAAATATTAAATATTATATTTTAATTTTAATTTTTTTAATTTTTTCATTCCGCACCCACACAAATAGCCATTTTAGCTATTTGTTTGCTATGGCCAAAATAAATAATTGCTGGCTAGGCCAATAGCTCTTTTTTTTTTATTTAAATACAGGAGAAATTTTCTTTAAATGCAAGAGGAAAGAACTTGTAGGTTTAAAATTTTGTATTGTGTCTTATCCTTCTCTCAAATTTAGAAAAGTAAGAATTAATTATTCTCCGGTTAATTAATAACATCGGTTGTGCTAATTAGCTGAAATTAAAAAGTGTGCTTGTTTAAAAACTTTTTTTATTTTTTCTTTTATATCTCTTGATTTTTTAGACTTTTTATTGTTAGTTTAATATTTGTGATGATTTTTATTTCTGCATTATTTTATGTTTTTAATATGGGTTAAGGAAGATAATTTTTATTTATGTTGTTATCTTTGATAAAATTGAGAGGAATTAATAATGGTAGTTGATATTGATAAAAAGATAGAGTGACATATTTAAAATTTATTTTTGATTATCTGTTTTAATTTGAGGTCAATTATATTTTGTCTTGTTGAAAATGCAATTAAACCAGTATATTAATTCTCTTTTAGTTCCAAAAAATAATCAAATTGTTATGTTAGAACAAGTAGGAGGTGATGCTTATTATTAGTTCGCATGTATGAAAACTACAAAATTGTTAGACATTGAATGTGAGTTTCTTTTACATACTCTTATAAGGTTTTAATTTGAGTTTTTTTTTTTTTTATGTAAATAGATTCAAATTTTCTAAGTTCTTTTACCAACTTTCTTACGAGTGAATCAGAAGATATTCTCTCTCAACTAAGTGATTCTAATCAATTAATTGATGACTTAATATACTCGAATTTAAATGTCCATTCAACAAAAAAATCACAAAGAAGTAAAAATTTCTCATTAGAGGAGGATTGTTTACTTGTCTCTGCATGACTAAATACAAGTAAGGATCCAATTACAGGAATTGAATAACAAACAAAACAGTTCTAGGCTCGCGTACATGCTTGCTCTGTAGAGAATGGAGGAAACTTGAATAATTGTTCTCAAATAAGCATCTCAAGTAGATGACAAGAAATAAATAGAGAAGTAAATTTGTTGGATTTGTTACTTAAATTGAAAATTGTCAGCAAAGTGGAATGACCGAAGAATCAAGGGTAATGTTAATATTTATTTCTATGTTAAATTATTTAACACATATTTTAATATTATTTTATTTATTTATTTTTTTACCAGATTAATGATGCTTGGCAAATGTATGCTTCTTGTGTTGGCAAATGGTTTTAACTAGAACATTGTTGGGTTATCTTAAGAAAAGAATCCAAATGACCATTTGAGCATGCAAGTCAACATCAAAGATCAAATAAGAAACAAAAAAAGTCATATCAATGCAAATCCGGCTTCATCAACTCCATCTACTCCTGATTCTGTTAGTTTAGGAGAAGATAGTGAATCATTGATTTATCAAGATAGACTAATCGGTCAGAAGGTTGTAAAGGAATGACTTAAACGTAGACAAGAAAAAGATAAAGTTGGAGAGGTATCTGTAATGAATCTTTTACAACAATTCAGGGATATTCTAGTTGAAATTAAAGATCAGAAGAAACAAGACAAAAAAATTATGTTAGAGCAACAAGCCATGATGGTTCAACAAAGTCAAGAGAAACAAGAATTGGATAGGATTGAGAAAGAAGAACAAATTATGAAAATGAATATTTCTAATTTGGATCCAATTTTTGCAGCGTATTTTCAAAATAGAAAGTTAGAAATTATGCAAAAGAGGGGTTTTAATTTTTAATTAACTTTGATTGATTTATTGTAATGTAATATATTTTTAATTAAATATGTAAAAAATTCTTGGTTATTTTAAATATATTGTTATGAAATTGATATCAATTCATAATATTTTTTTTGAAGTTCCTCTAACATTTAACAATAATAAATAAGATTAATTAACTTAAAAGATAACAACCATAATAAAAAACAAAAAACATAAAAAACTTGAAAATTATGATAACATAAGAAGTTCAAATCTAAAGATTCTACTTGTTGTCATATTGTTCCCACAAATGTTCAATCAAATCTTCTTGTAGTTGAGAGCTAGTTGCTCTATCCTTAATTCGATTATAAGTTTGAAGAAAATAATGTAGTTCTGGTATTTCATCATATGACATTGATATAAAAGAATTGACTTCATGTTTATGGTCAAATCCAATGTTCATTACTCTTTCATCCTTAATAATTATATTATGCATTATTATGCAAGCTTTCATAATATATGCAAGCATTTCTTTATCCCAGTATCGAACAGGTCAATGTACAATTGCAAAACGAGATTGGAGCACCC